ACATTGAATTAAACACGATATACTGACCATTACAACCGAAACCTGCACGTACCGGAAGCAACAAAAACCCAGACCATGTAAATTCGAACTGGCACAAGACAACAGTGCTTCAGAGGAGGTGCCACAGCACTGAGGATGTCACCTAGTGAGGGGGCAAAACGTCTGCTATCAAACATTCCCAGCTTGGCAAACGCACCAACATCTACAGCCAACACTCGAGCTACAAATCTTTACTCAAACACTGAACAAGGAAAAGTTTGTATGATGTTGCTATTTTACTTGACATCAAGGAAATTCATTAATATTGTACTCCCCCAAGTCTCCTGGCATTTTAATACTGAATATTTTAACTTGTTAACAAAAGTTGTCGTAATATCTCAAACTACTACATAGAAGTGAGAAGTAGTCTGTTTCCTAATAGCTAATGTGGCAATAGAACATGAAACTAAAATTTGTAGGTTTGGCAAGCCGTAAAAGACTTGGTTTAATCAAGCTTGAAGTTGAGAGTGATCAGAATCAAGAATGACGTGTATTACATACAAGTGTAACATCATGTTTAATTTCTATCTGATCTTGTATTAGCTGTTAACATCCACTGTCTAAGATAGATTGCTGGATGGCAACAGCAATGGTGATGTTGGCTGATTTTGTTTTTCTTATTCGTTGAGAGACACTGAGAGCATATGTTTGCAACTATGTTTAGTAAAGACCAGAAACTGAACATATGACATCTCTTGTGTGTGTGATTTAGTATTTGCAAATATGCAATACGTTTATCCACCAAGCCATTGAGAGCACTGACTGCTACCGATTGAATGAATACCAAAATAGATATTGCCATCCTGATGTTCCACCTACTTCCTTTTGATGACTTATGATGACTTTGGGTCCCATATCTCAGGAAGGATGTACTGGCCCTGGAGCGGGTTCAGAGGAGGTTCACGAGAATGGTCCCAGGAATGGAAAGCTTAACATATGAGGAATGTTTGAGGACTCTGGGACTATACTCATTGGAGTTTAGAAAGATGTGGGGGTATTTAATTGAAACTTTCAGGATACGGAATGGCCTGGACAGAGTGGATGTTGGGAAGATACTTCCATTGGTAGGAGAGTCTAGGACCTGAGGACACAGCCTTAGAGTAAAGGAAAGACCTTTTAGAACGGAGATAAGGAGAAACTTCTTCAGCCAGGGCGTGGTGAATCTGTGGAATTCACTGCCACAGAAGGCTGTGGAGGCCAGCTCATTAAGTACATTTAAGACTGAGATAGGTTCTTGATTATCAAGGGTTACAGGGAGAGAGTGGGAGAATGGGGTTGAGGAACTTATCAGCCATGATTGAATAGCGGAGCAGACTCGATGGGCTGAATGGCCTAATTTCTGCTCCTATGTCTTGTGGTCTTATGATATTAGTACATTATCAGCACTTGATAAAGCTGTATTATGGTAAGGAATGTTAAATTGCCAAACCAGAGGAATTTTGAATTATGCAGTAATATATTGTAAAGAATCTCTAAAAAAGCATTAAATGCTACTTACATTTAAAAAAAAAAGTCTTTTTGGAAGATGCATGCAATCTCCCAAAAGTATAGAACAGAGTGGCTGGGAGAATGACAAGCTGAAGGAAATTAGCATCAGTAAGAAAGTTGTACAGGAGAAATGAATGGGCTGAAAGCTGATAAACCTCAAGACCTGATCTCCTTCAACATCCTGGGATGGAGGCTGTGGCTGTAGAGACAGTTGGATGCATTTGTGATCATCTCCCAAAATTCTGTGGATTATGGAACAATTCCTGCAGATTGGAAGATTGTCAGTATCACCCCACTACTTAGTGAGGGAGCAAGAGGGAAAACCAGGAACTACAGACCTGTAAGCCTTATGTCAGTAGTGGAGAAAATGCTCAAATCTGTTATAAAAGATGGTAATGATCTGGTTTGACATATCACGAATTTGTAAATGAGAAATCGTGTTTGACAAACTTGTTGGAGTTTTTTTTTTTGAAGATGTTAGTAACAAAATTGATAGAGAGACCTGATGGAGCTGGTATTCTTGGATTTTTCAGAAAATTTTTGATAACGTACCCCACAGAAGGATCATTAGAAAGGTTAAAGCACGTAGGATAGGTAATGTATTGGCATGGATTACTGGCTAACAGACACACAGTAGGAATAAAATGGGCCTTATGTTGGCAGTATGTGACTAATGGGGTACTGACAGAATCACCACTTGGGTCCCAGCTGTTTGCAATATAGCAATGATTTAGATGGGACCCAAATGTAGTCTTTCCAAGTATGTGGTAATACGAAGTTAGGTAGGAATGTGAGTTTCAAGAGGATTTCAACAGGCTTCGTGACTAGGTATGAACACCAGTAACTGAATATAAAGTGGAAAAATGTGAGGTTATCCACTTTGGTAGGAGAAACCAGCTATGGAGAGTATTTCTTAAATGGTAAAAGGTTAAAAGTGTAGGTGTACAAAGGGTTCTAGGTATCTTTCTCAGTAAGTCACTGAAGGCTAACATGCAGGTGCAGCAAACTATTAGGAAGGCTCTTGGAATGTTAACCTTTATTGCAAGAGGATTTGAGTGCAAGAGTGGTGAAGGTTTGCTTCAGTTATGAAAGAGCTTGGTTAGACTGCACCTGAAGAACTATGTGCAGTTTTGGTTTCCTCATCTCAGGAAAGATATTATTGCCATAGAGGGAATGATTCGAAGCTCCATCAGGCTTGGTCCCATGATGAAGAGGGATTGCATAAACTGGGTCCAGATTCTCTGAAGTTTCAAAGAATAAGAAGTGATCTCATTGAAACTTATGAAATACTTGAAGGACTGGACATGATAAATGCAGAT